CCAGCCAGGCTGAGAAAGCTTATATCAAGTTTCAGCCTGATTCATTTCAAAAACCATTGTGAAAATTGGGACATTTTCTTCACACCACAATAAGTTAGTCATGGAAAGTCTGCCTTCATGGCAGCTACCAGGGCTGCAGTCACGAGAGCATGCTCTGTGCCTCCGGAGGTTTCTGTTGCAGGTCAGCAGATCCCCTCCCCGCCTCCTCCTCCCCCCCTCGCCCCCCCCCCCGTTAGAAAGCAGAAGTGCATCACAGTTGGGGCTCTGAGGTTCCCTTTGCAGCAAGTGACCTCATACTTGGTGTGGCTCTTTCATTCTGGAAGTTTAATGTTGTTGTTGTTTCCAAAAAGTGCTTTTTACAAGCTTAAACCTGGAAAGTTCCACGTAGCTGGATGTGCATGAAGAGGTTAAAAGAGTGGCTCCCCCTGCAGGACTCTGGCTGTCCTCTTACTCTTTTTTTTTTTTTTTTTTTTTTGACAGTGAGAGGGAACACAAGCATGGGGGAGTGTGGGAGGGAGAAGCAGGCCTCCCGCTGAGCAGGGAGCCCGATGCGGGGCTCGATCTCAGGACCCCGGAATCATGACCTGAGCCGAAGGCAGACGCTTAATGACTGAGCCACCCAGGCGTGCCGGTCCTCTTACTCTTGAGTGACAAGGGCGGACGAGGCAGTCTTCTGGGCCATCTGTCATTCTGTTGAGGAGATGCCGGCGAGGGGTGGCCAGCCTTCAACGTGTCCAGGTGTTTTTAGTGTAGACCTCAGCCAGTGAAATGAAAGGGGCCAGCCAAGTGTCCTCTGCACCCACGGCGCAGAATGCTGCCCTCACGCCCCGCAGCGGCCGCCTTGTGCCCCATCAGTAGGCGCCTCTGGAAGGGTCACTCCTGGAATCAGAGTTCCTTCTTGGGATGGGTTATTCACATATTGGCCAGTTCATTTGTTCACCTGTTCCTTCATCCACAGAATAGTAAGCAGGTTTTTGCCAGGAACGTGCTAGACTCTGAGAGCACAAAGATGGGCTCCTGTCCTCTTGGGGCTCACGGTCAAAGTGCGGAAGACACACGCCGCGCCTCTGAGTCATTCTGAAAGTGTAACTTATTACAGACGACCTCACGTGTTGTCACACCCTCAGCTCCCAGGTGGACTCCATGATTTTAGTGGGCCCTGAGGGCTGGGTGGGGAGCAAAGATGGAGTCCTCCTTGGAGCCCTGCAGAAGTTTCCTGGGTGTGACCTTGTCTGTCCCTACACGCCAGTGGGCATGCTGAGTCCGTGGGGGGGTGGGGACTGAGGCTGTCCCATCCACTCCCCTTGCTCCCCACACCCTTCTTCCACCCCAGTCTGCATGCTGGGTCACCTCACGGCTGCCTTCTCATTCCCGCTGCCGCGTTTCTGACTTATCCCCAATCCCCAGAGCCTTCGGTCGCCACTTTGATCAGCTGCCCCGCACCTCTGCTGCCCCACACACCAGGTCAGCACTGCCTGGCCTGGCCTGGGAGGAGCTCTGTGCTGCTGAGCCTTGCTCCTGACAGCTCGCCTGGGCAGGCCGTCCCCTCAGTGGGCCCCGGAATACCCTGCCACTCCCCCGGTGGTGGTGCTCTCTCCTCTCTGCTCAGTCCAGTCCTTGCTTCTCCCTTCCTCCCCCCAGCCTCTGCTGGAACAGTGCCCCTCTATGTGGCGGCGTGCCAAGGTCACCGGGGGAGACTGAAAACCTACCTCGCCCAGGCTGCACCCCAAAGAGAGTCAGCCAATCCCCAGAGAGGGATCCAGGCCTGAGTCACTTTTTCTTCATTGTCCAGGTGATTTCACTGTGCAGCCACGGTGGAGAAGCAGAGTCAATTAGCCTCTAACTGTCCTTTAATTGCTTCACCCTGCTCAGCTTTTGCCTCCAGAGCTTGTTTCAGTCTCTAGGACAGAGTCACTTTACAGGCGGGCCCTCTCAGCCCCTGGTAGCGCCCAGCCAAGGCCCTCAGCAGCAGCTCGATTGTCGGAACCTTTAGCGGCCTTCTCCTTCACCTCCTCCCCTGGCTGCCTGCTCAGCATCCCTCCCTCTCCCCCCGCCCCTGGCTCCCCTGGCCTCCTTGTGCCTCCTGTTCTCCACAGCCAGGCCCCCACCCTCCAGCAGACCTCCCTATCCTGGACCTTCTTCCCTTCTCCCCACTGGGGAGCCACGTGGAGAACCTGCTAAACTTGTATGTAGCATGCACGCAAGAATACCTGTGCAGCACTTTTCTATTAACAAAAATCAAAGAGAGGGAAAGATTTGGAAATGATCCAACAACAGGGGATTGATTCAATAAATCACGAATTGCAATGCAACAGAAGATTATGCCACTGTCAAAATATTTATGAAGAATTTATAGAGTCATGGCATATGATGTTAGGTGAAATAAGCAGAATGCAATACTCCATATAGTGTGAACCTAGACTATCTACTTTTAGAAAAAGAGCCTGGAGGGTAATATACTGAAACAGTAATGGTGGTTGTCTCAGTGTGGTAAGGTTCTATTTGACTTTCTTTTGTTACAATTTTATGTTTTTCCTAAAACAACTGTACATTGAGCATGTACTCCCTTTGTAATCAGAGAAAAAGTGATTCAAAAAATTAATTGGGGAGATATTAATATCAGATGATGACTTGGGGCATCAACTGAAGTGTATAAAGGGGAATGTTTATTTCGGACAGTATGGAGTTGGTAGAGGCAAGTCCTGGGGTGTGATCTTATTTTAGGAAAATAAGATTCTCTTAAGGGGAAGGTCCCCAAGAAGGTCAGGCCAGTGAGTTGGCTCTCAAGAGGCCCACCTGACTGTGGTGGGTCTTGGCCTGTGCCCAAGGTGTGCCGAGCTGGCTGGAAAGTTGGGGCCATTTGGGAATCTCGCACTGGCCCTGGGTGCTGATTGGCTCCCCCGTGGCCTCAGAGCACCACCGATACTTTTCTTTGTTCTGTCTCTGCAGATAATTAACCTTTGGTTATACTTCCCTTGCCCTGATAAGATGAGTTCATTGAATAATTACTCATTTACCAGGTGCTAGAATAAAGTCACTTAATATAATCCCGGGTATAATGTAATGGTTTGTCCTGACCAGTGATTTGTGCTTGGTTTTGCATCTTCCACTAAAGGAAGTAGACTGCAGACAACACCTGCCTATTCATTAATAGAAGAAAGCTGACCATCACACAGCCAGACCACTTATTATAACCATCAATAAAAGACCTCTCCCCAAAATAAGGAGGAAAAAAAAAACCACACATAGTTTTTAGCTTTTCTGTCTTGAGCCAGCATATTTGCAGTTACAGCACTTACGGTGCTTTCAGCTGCAAATAAAGGATATCTGATTAAAATTGACTGCATTAACAGAGGGTTATTAATTTTACATAGCAACAAGTCCGGGCACTGGATGATTCCAGGGTTGGTGGGTGGCTCATCGGGGTTGTCAGTCATCCAAGGTCTTTCTAGTCTTCTCTTCTGCCATCCTCAAGATCTCCTCGTGGCCATAAGATGACTGCCACAGGGGGCGCCTGGGTGGCTCAGTTGGCAGTGTACTCTCTGCCACGCGCGCTGGCATAGCCGACTCTTGGTTTTGGCTTAGGTCATGATCTCAGGGTCCTGGGATCGAGCCCCGCGTCAGGCTCCATGCTCAGCGGGGAGTCTACTTCTCCCTCTCCCTCTGCCACTCCCCCCCCCACTCATGCTCTTGCTCTCTCTCTCTCTCTCTCAAATCAAACAATCGATCGGTCGATCTTAAAAAACAAAAAAAGATGGCTGCCACAGCTCCAGGCATCTTATCCATGCACAACAGCCTCCCAAGCAAGAAAGAAGAAAGGGCAGCCACACAAACAGCCTTCTCCTCATTTCCTCTCAACAGAGAGGACATCTCTGTCCCAGAGACTGTCAGTAGACTTCTCTTTTTTCCTCAGTGATTGAAATTGGGCTACGTGGCCAATTCTAGACCAATCACAGGCAAAGAGGAGCAGGATGGCTAAAATTGGCTTAAACTGAACATGGTTCCTGAAACAAAACTAGGGCTCCATTAATAGGAGAATGGGAAATAGTGTGGGAAGGCAGTGCCTGGCATGGCCTATGAAACATGAGCTACTTGTCAGCAAGAGTTGGCCTGGCCCCAGTCACAAGCAGTAATGGGTCTCAATGTCAACCCCTTTCTGCCGGCCATTGCTTTGTGCATCCCATGCACATATCTACACTGATTTGTAAACCCCTGGAACTAGATAGAACGAGGTGACCCCTTGACCTAATCATCTGTTGAAGAGGATGGAAAAGTAAAGGCAAAGGTCTTCGTCCCGGACGCGTGCAAGGTGCCGTTGTGATCTGGCTGAATGATTCTACATTCACGTGCGACCTCCGTCACACAGACGGAAGCTCCCTGAGGGCAGGGTACTTTCTGCCACGCGCGCTGGCATAGCCTGGGTATCTGGCCCCGTGTGTAGCGCAGAGTAGCTGCTCAGTCATAACGGAGTGAATGAATGAGCAGATCGATGACTGAAGATCATGTCTCCATTGAGTGGTGCCTCTCGAAGCAGAATGGTGCTGGGCTCCGGGAGTTATCGGGAGAAGTAGAAGCTTGCTCTCCACCTCTAGGGAGTTTGTTGTCTACCATTAGGGTGATGGCCAGGCTATAGTAGTACAACCAGAGGAGGAGGCTGCCCTCTCTTCTCTTTCGGAATCAATGATCAGCATTCCCTTGTCCATGGGTATTGTACCTTGTGATAACTGCTTTTCGTGTTGGCATGAGAAGAATGTTTTATCTAGCAAAATGAACTTGCATTTGTGGAGGAACGAGGATTCCTCCTTTACCCCTCTTTCTGTAGCTTTTAAAGGCCTACCACATTCATTGGATGACCAGAGGATGGAAATCGCCTTCATCAATGATGACATGTAATCCAGATGTAAAGAATGAGTATTAAGGAAAAGGTGCTCGTGGCCTGTTGTAAGAACCTTTCCTCACTCCTATTATTGCTCTTAAAACTCTGTTTTACTTTTGTTTTAGACCTAGAAGGTTTTGACTCCGTGGTATCATCTACTGAGAAACTCAGTCACCCAACCACAAGCAGACCAAAAGCCACGGGGAGGCGGCCTCCGTCCCAGTCCCTCACCTCCGTAAGTGTCGCCTCGCTCCTTCTACTGCAGGAAAGCAGGTCAGCTTAGAGACTCCAGCCAAGGACTCTCCTGCAAGCGGCTGATATGAGGACCAGCCAGGAGAGGGAGGTCGTGAGATACACTGCTGACCAAGAGTGATTTGAGAGTCTTCTGGAATCAAGCAGTATTTCTTTCTCTTTGTTCTTTGCACATCTGCCAGTGAGGCGGGTCCTGCTTAGTCCCACTTTCCTTCTTTCTCCTTCCAGACTGATCCTTATTTGAACCTGAAATGAAGTTGGTAAGAAAAAAAAATGTCACGTTTGATGGTGGGAGAGGAGAGTGAGGCTCGTTTGGTCTATAAACAAAACTTTGCTAAAGAATTATCTGCCACTCTCCAGGTGCTTGACAATGGCCAAGCTTTTTTCTCACGAAGCCCCATTATTGGCACCCCTCCACGGAACCCCACACACACCTTTAGGAGATTGTTTGTAAACATACGGGGCACCTGGTCATGTAGGAGAGACCAGTCAGAATGCTCCAGATAACCTACAGAAGAAGTTTTTTGTTTGGGTCATTTTGAATAACTTCTTTCCTCACTGGAAACCTGTAACCCATTTGTTGTATCAAATTTCAACAGTGAAATGCATAAAGAAGAAAGTAAGTTACCTGTAATCCTGCTTTCCAGAGCTGAGAACCGTTAACCACTTGCTGTATGTGTGTAGCTTTTACTTAAAATTCTATTTGTATGTATAACATTATTTATTCCAAATGGGGTACATAGTACATGCTTTCCATCCCCCTTATATTGTGTACCTTTCTCCCCAATCATTGCCCATTCTTCCATGATGTTACATTTAATGGCTGTCTAGTGTTCCAGCCTGTGAATATATGAGAGTTTATCTAGTCAGTGCACTATTATTGGACATTTATGTTACTTCCACTTCTTCATTATAAACACTGAAGTGAATGTCATTGAAGAAAAAATCTTGATGCATCCACAAGTGATGTCTGTCTCTCTCTATATCTCTATCTCTATATATCACATTGTCTTGTCCTTGCTGGGAATGCAGGTCTAAGGCCTTATGACCTTCATTCACCCAGATACACCAAGGAATTAACCTTTTGCAGGTTTTCCAGAACACTTTCTACTTTCGCCTCATCACTGATCCCACCGCAGAGGTCCTCATTTAGAAGAAAAAGAATGCCACTTCCTTTGAACCTCTTCTCTCATATCTGCTGAGTTTGGGGGTGTGGTTTGAATCATGCTATTTTTCCTCTTTGTGTGAAACAACCCTATGTGTTGATGCCTTTTTGGAAGAAAGACTTGACAAAGTGGCTTACTTATATAGAGTCCCGTATCACTACCATCTTTCATCTCCCCATATCCTCCCCAACGTGCCTCACACACAACCTATTTAATTGCCTTTTAGTATCTCTAAGTGTTTCATCCTATCTCCCACATCTTCTCTATAAATCCTTCTTCCATTTTGTTTTTCCTCCAAATTCTTCCAAACTTTGCAAGGTTTAGAGGGCCTTGAGGCATCCAGAATTAAATACAGAGAACGTCAATTTACCATCCCCCACCCCACCCTTGGTTCATACATCCCATGCCTGGGGGTTCGTGTATATTTGGGGACTGGGTAAAGGCACATCATCTTCACTCGCTTTTAGCCTACAACTTTGTTCATTCACTTGTTCAGCTAATATTTGTAGGCATTTATGACATGTGGACTCAGTTCTGAGCCATGTACCAAGGCTGCGACTGGGAGTGAGACATACGTGGTCCCTGCCCTTAGGAAGCTTATGATGCCGTGACTCAAAGTTTGGCACTTTATGTGGAACAATTGCATTTGTAGCCTTAAAATAACAGGATACATTTGGGCTTTAAAGAAGTGTAATTACTCCCTTCCCTTTGTTCCCATCCATCCCCACGTGGATGCACACTTTGAATTCGTATTGGTTCTTCCTCCACTTAGCACCCGTAGGTTTTTCATAGCAAAATGGGATCGTGGATTTGGACACATTCCTACGAGGCCATTGGAAGGAATGATGGGGGAAATGCACCGGTCAGGATTACCCAGCCTGGAGCCTCTCACCCTAGTCTGAGCTTATTTTTGTTCATTGAATTCAAAGAGCAAGCTTTGATTGGCAGCTCATGAACTGTAGGTTACACAGGAGGAAGCTGGCTTTTTTAATAAAATCTCAAAGTGAAGGGACACAGGCGCTGCAAGGTGGTTAAGCGGTTAAGCTTAGATTAATAAGAAAGCTTAGCTGGGGTGTTATTCTAGGTAATTGGATTTTCAGATAAAACAAAGATTAACAAATAAGACCTTTTAATTTTAAAACTTTGCTTACAAATCCCTAGATATATTTGTTTTCTGCCTTAGAAAATAGAGTAAACGGAAGAAAATAAACATGGTGTGATGTAGGCGTGACTTTTCTATAATGACACCAATGCTGATTCTAGATAGGACGATTTTCCCACCGCCAGGGTAGACGGCATAGAGATGCGGCTAAATACGAGCTCACCCAAAGAGATCTCTGGAAGATTCTTCGTTTAAAAAAGATCCCTTGTCCCAGGAACTCTTATTTTCATTTGCTTTATCCTAAAATGGTGAAATTCTAGCACAGTAATCCTTTATGTCCAAGTGAACTCCAGTGAGTTGGTTCACATTCATCCAGCTTTTTGCTCTTCACAGTGAGGCAGAAAAGATAGGAGAATTATCCCCATATTTTTACCAAAAGATGCTGCCATTCTGTAAATATACCTTAGCAAAAATCGAGTCCACAACAGACGTTGATTGTCCCTGGCAATGAGGGTGGAGATTTAGCAGTAGGTTCCCCAGTTAGAGGTGAGCTGGCCCTCCGGCAGGCAGGGCTGTGCCCTGGGGTGCAGAAATGCTGCTCACTGGCCCACAGGCCTGTGACCTTGTGCCCCCTGGGACGGTTGCCTCTCAGACAGCTTCTTGCAGGCACTTCACTGTGCCTCAGATTTCCTGGTCCTGGAAAAGGATCCAGAGGAAATGGAGGAGAGGCAGGTCGGAGGCAGCCTCCTCTTGCCCTGTATGTCCCTCCCCCCTAGACTGTCAGCCTTGTGAGAACAGGGACCGTGTCCGGCATGTCACCTAAGTTCAGCACCGAGCTCAGTGCTTAGTACACAGTAGCAAATGTTTACAGAAAGAAGGGAGGCTCCGAAGGATGGAGGGAGCAGGAAAGGCTGGGTGACACAGGCCCGCGCAGGTGAAATGACCGACAGGCATTGGTGCCAAGATCCCGTGGAAAGATCCCTGCTGTAGGAAGTCTTGCTTCTTAGTCCCAGTTCTGCGACTATCTCTAGCGGACAGATAATAGCATCCTCTCTGCCTTCGAGGTTATAATGAGGAGACAAACAAAATAGAGGTGTTGAGTGCTTTGAAAAGCATACAGCATATGTTGACAAAAGCTCTGTCAGCTAAGGTGTAATTCTGACAAAAGCATTTTCTTTTGGCTTTATCCAGTCTTCCCTTTCAAGCCCTGATATCTTTGACTCCCCAAGTCCCGAAGAAGATAAAGAGGAACACGTTTCGCTTGCACACAGAGGAGTGGAAGCATCAAAGAAAACTTCAAAGACTGTTACCATATCCCAAGTGAGTGACCAGCCAAGGGAAGGGTGTCCAGACAGCACGGACCCCTGCCTTTTCGTGTATGCTCTGACAATGAGTTATAAACCAAACAAGGATCAACAGATGGCTTAGTCCATTCGGGCTGCTATGACAGAGAGTCGTAGATGGGGTGGCTTAGAGACAACAGATTTATTTCTCACGTTTGTGGAGGCTGGAAGTCTGAGATGAGAGTGCCAGTATGGTGAGGTTCCGGTGAGGGCTCTCTCTTTTTTTTTTTTTTTTT